CTTCGTTCCCCAGGCCCATCGCTGTGCGCTGGTGCCCCAGCCTCTGCTTGCTCCATCGTGGGTTGGGGGCCCTCAAAATAAACACAAATGCCTGCCCACCTGCTGCCACGGGGATGCCCTGGGGAAGGGGGGCCAGAGGAGGCAGCTGCTCCCTGGCTGCTTCCCCGTGGGTGAAGCGGGGCAGCGTCCAAAGATCAGGGGTGGTCACAGCACAGGAAAGGGAAAGAAAAAACCCAAGCAGCAATGAAACGCCATGCCAGGCCAAGCTCTTCCATCCCCTCCTGCCAGGGAGCTGAGGGCAGAGCTGCTTCCTGCTGCCGCCACTGCCCTGCAGGCTCTGCCAGGAGGGGAGAAAACAGCTCTGCCCCAGCTCCGCTCATTTCTCCGTGAGCAGACCCAGAAACAGCCTCACCTACCTGGTTTATTTGCGGGTCACTCTGCAGGCACAGGAGGCTGCGACATCGTTAAACCTGCTCAGCAGCGAAAGCTGAGCCCCAGGCGCTGCACACACAGGAGGGACAAACCAGACCAGGCCCGACCCAGCCAAACAGCGAAGAGGAGCTGCGGAGCTCACGTTTTCCTTCTTTTTTCTTTTCTTTTTTTGGCTGATGCTGGGACCCCAGGAGCCCCCAGGTCTGGCTGTCACCCAGCCCACGGGATGTCCCTAACTGGGCCAGCAGGGACTGGCCCTGGGCATGGGGGCTTCTTGGCTGAGAAGGGACCTGTGGTGGCGAGGGTGCCCGGGTTTCAGCCCTCCTGCCTTGGTGGGGATCAGGCTCCGCTCCCAGGGAATGGGTGATGGGACAAGGGGAAACGGCCTCAAGTTGTGCCAGGGCAGGTTTAGGTTGGACATTGGGAAAAATTCCTTCCCCGCAAGGGCTGTCAGGCCCTGGAAGGGGCTGCCCAGGGAAGGGGTCGAGTCCCCATCCCTGGGGATATTTAAAAGCCGGGCAGAGGAGGTGCTCAGGGCCAGGGTTTGGTGGTGGGATGGCAGGGTTAGGGGAAGGGCTGGGCTTGGTGAGCTTAAAGGGCTTTTCCAACCCAAACAATTCTGTGATTCCATGGTTCTGTGACATCCCTGGCTCCCAGGGCAGCATGCCTGAGCAACAAGGGCCTGGGGAGCCCAGGTCCATGGGTGATGCTCTGCATCCCACCTGCAGGAACCACCGCCCAAACATGTTCCGTTTCACCCTGCAGGTGCTTGGCTTACTGGTGTGGGCTCTCATCGCTGACACAACGTACCACCTCCACGCAGCGTATGGCTGGGTGATGTTCGTGTCCATCTTCTTCTGGATAGTCACAGTCCTTTTCTTTGTGACTTACCTCCTGCAGCTTCAGCTGAAGTTCCACGCCATCCCCTGGCCCCTCGTGGTACATACCCGGGAGAGGGCCAGGGTGTGGGGGGGTCCCAAGTGGGAAACGTCCTCATGAGATGCTCGGAGAGGACCAGGGCTTCAGGCTTGTCTGGGCCAAGGGAGTGAGGTCCCTTGAGCTTTGCTCAATGACATTGTTTCGTTCTGCCCCTCAATCATTCAAAACTTCTCCAAACAGGAAGCCCTGTATCAATCCAGAACGTCACTGCCACTGCATCACTGTTGCAGTCATGGCATCAACCGGAAACCTCTCAGCACAATCCAGGGCACGGGTTTTTAGCAAGGTGTTGCCCTGAAGTTTATCCTCAGTGTGAGGGGCTGGGCCCTTTTCCCTGGGTTCCTCTGGGGAGGAGGGAGGAACGTGAAACCCTTTCTCTCGTCCCTCATCCCAGTGTGTGCAAATCTGAGCCCCAACCGCCTGCCCCGATCTTTCCCT